CATTAGGTACTCAGTACGCTGGAGTGTCCCTGCATTCCTCCCAAGGGCCCTGTGACGCGTCATATGCCAGCATAAAAGTTGGGAAACACAACAGATAATCCTAGGAGAGAAATGTATAAATGTGGGAAAATAAAAATGTCAGTAACTTCCATTTCAAAACATTGTACAGCGAACAGGATAGGGGAAAGACAGTTTGTGGAACCTAACATTTAAAAACAATGACACGTTTTACAACGGAAAGACCTGCATACAAGTCAGGTTACAAAAGGGTTTTTTGGGGTGTTTTTTCTTTTTAAAAGCATTTCTGAGTACAAAAGGAAATAATTATATAAAATCCCAGCTGTTGATATTTGAGAAGCACAAAAATAAAATAAAATAAAAATACATAAAATTACAAAACAAACCTAATTCACTCTACTTATCTATTATTCAGCTTACATTTCCAAAACACAGATTGGTGAATGCATCGAGTAAAGGAATTTGGTATAAATGTACTTATTGACACACAAATCTGTACTTTTACAGGTTAAAATGCAAAATGAAGTCAGGGAGAAAATGTTTGTGAGAATGTGAGTTGTAGAGGTGTTTTATGTAAAGAGGATTTTACAAAACGTACACCACATTATAACTTGGTCATAAGTACAAACATAACATGATTAGAAGAGAAAAATATTAATTGTTCCATATAATTATGCATGAATGAGGATACTGCAAGCAAAAAAAAAAAATTATTTAATAAAAAATCTAAATCATAGAAACAAATAATCGTCAAAAACATAAAACACATTTGGGTACACTCACTAAACTCTTAATTGCAGGAAACTAAAATCTAAAATGGAAAAAAATAGGATAAAATTGTCAACTATAGCCAAGTTTGTTTTGGGGGTGGTGTTCTTCAACTCAATGGTTTCCGACTACAGTTTGCTATTCAGACTCAATCAGTTGTAATTCTGAATTTAGTGAATAAAAAATAATTTTCTTTAGAAGTAGGGATGTAAGATTAAAATGAAATAAGCTCTGCAGCAATTTTCTTTCTACTTGTGCAATGAAAACACTAACTCTGTGATGTCCAGCCAAGACATGAACGCCAAGACTCTATAGTGACTGCTGAGAATTATGCGACTCGTTAAATCTTAGCTAATTATCCATGACAAACACACTATTCTGCTAAAGGAAATTTGCAGTCTTACGTGTAAACTAGAAATGAGAAAGCCAACCTGTCTATTGAAAAACGAAGAAAAATGACATCACTAAAAGGAAATCCAGTGGCCGGTAATTAGAAAATAGCCAAGTTGAAGAGAGGGAGGAAAAATAGATGAAATCATCAAGTCTGTTGGCATGGCATGAAATCAGACCAGTTTATGATTATGAAGTGGAAGAACAATTTATGATTTACATAGGGTTAACATCAAAATACCAGTGTCTTTCACCTTTAAAAAAAAAATTTAAAAAAATGAAAAATGCAACAGATACACTATGACCATAGAGACATATATAGCTGTTCCGTAATACATCATTCTATGATTCTCAAGTTCCAATTAGATAACAGCTTCAAGAAAACACAGCCAATAAATATGTTACTGATAACGTCAAAAAGCACACAGAATATCACGTACCAATAGTAATATGATATTTATATTTTTTATATGACCATAACTTTAAAATAAGGCCAAGACTTGTCTTACTCTAACAGGTTAACTGTGGATTAAGATCAATGAATAGTATTAACAGCAACTGAGAACCTCTGGGATAAATGTTCCCGCAAGCTAGGCCGGGCAACAATCCCCCTTCCCCTCAACACATCTGGTGGGCGACTGGGAAAATAATCCTTGTCACCTGCTCACAGAGGGTCACACAGTAGATATGGCACACATACCTGTGGTCAACCAACGTAGACATAGTAATGATAAAAAAATACAAATGTAAAAGATTTAAAGTGAAAATAAAATGTAGCCCATTCCAGTTACACAACTGTGTAAGAAATAAGGTTTTAGCATCTTAAATAGCAGCCTAAAGCTTTGTCCCACTCACGATGAGTTGCAGCAGGGGTCCAGCTCGTTTCTCTAATCTCTCAGGGGGCGTGAGAGAAGAGATAGGTATTTTTTGCCTGCTCCCTGTTTTTACAGAGAGTCCTGGGAACCCCATTCTTTTGTTTTTTTAAATTTAATTTTAACACTATGCCTGTTGACGCTACTGTAGAATTAATATCACAGAATCTACCCCTTAGCTAACAAATAGGGGGGAGGTGCAATGACGAAGTTCACTGCTTGATAAATGTCCAACTCCTATACACTGAACTTGATCTTATTTCAAAGCAGACACTGAATGGCATGGCATTTGCAAATTAAGGGACAAAAGCCAAATTTGCATGCGAATCACCCTTAGAAAGTACCTGAATTTAACTTTTTCTTTCAATTGGGATGCAAATTAGGAACTTGGTAAATTACCCCACTGTGTTTTATTGCTTTAATCCTGTATTCTTTAAATAAACTGTATCTTCCAGCTACAGTTATGCAGACTCAGGGTTCCAGCAAACCTTAATCTTGTGTCATACCAGGTTAACCCAGTCCTGTTTATACAGCTACAATGAAAGTGTAAGTACTATGGAAAGACTGATAATCAGTTTCTGTTTAAACAGACAAGAACAGCAGTGAAGGCAATATATATATATATATATATATATATATATATATATATATATATATACATACATACACACACACACACACACACACACACACACACACAGTTATACGCCACTCCATAAGAACAGCAAGCATATCAGACTTAGCAACATGGGAAGATCTGGCCACAAAATCTGACAAATTACCCATCGCGGTGTCAATCCAATCACCCTATGGAAACAATGATACATATGGATAGGTCACATTTAAGACGACAGGCCAGGCTATTCACCTGGCAGTACAGTACTAGGGCTACCAAATGGCCACATTTCACTAGAAAGGTAGATAAAATTATACTAACGAAGAAACAGCAAGGTTGTTTTTTCTTTCTGAAAATTTTTGGCAACCATACCTGCATCCAAGGAAACAAACCTGAGTGGGCAGAATAATAATACAGTACTGGATCTGGGATGCCAGATCCCATATGTTTTCAATGACTAATCACGTAACTGTGAACAGAACATGAAAAGTGCTGTCCTACAGTATATAGCCTTCATATGCTCCAAGACGAATGTCCGTTAATTAAGCAACATTATCTATTTGGAATTCTCCTTTACAAATAAATAGAACACAAAGTGCATGCAAACCTATATGTAACAGTCTACAAAATTTAGATACGATGTGTGTCCAGGACAAATGGTGGATCTGGCAGTGCTACCTGGATCCCACTGGTTCCTAGAGAGGTGGTGGGTCACCTATCTCAGGGGTACTAGATCCCAGCAAGGAGGTATTTTTCTATGAAAGGGGAAGTGGAGGGCACTGGATCCTGGGGAGATGTTTTAATAATAAGATGACCAATCTATTGAGATTGGATCCCAATGAGAAGGCTGATTTTTTTTTTTTTTTTTTTTTTTAATGGAGGGGGTAGGGAAGCTGCTTTCTATATGGAGGTACTAGACTCCAGGAAAGATTTCTGACGTTAGGTTTCCTATGAAGATAGTCAATGTGAAGTAAGAGGTGTGGGTACAGGCTACCTTTTTGGGGTGGGCTGGATTCAATTGAGGGGTGCTCTCCAGGCTTCCTTGATGTGGGGTGATGGATCCAGTTGAGGGGTGCTCTTCAAGTGACCTGTTTAGCGGAGTGGCTCCAGGTGAGGGGGGCTCTCCAGACTACTTATTTTGGGGAGGGGCTGGAGTTGAGGGTGCTCTCTATTCTACCCCTATTTTGGGGGTATGGCTCCAATTAAAGGGTGCATCCAGTGGAGGGATATTCCCCAGGCCTCCTGTTTTTGGGGGTGCATCCAGTGGAGGGATATTCCCCAGGCCTCCTGTTTTTGGGTAGTGATCCATTTGAGGGGTGCTCTCCAGGCCCAGTCTTAACACGTCCTGCTGGCTATGCTCACCCCTTGAGAACAAGCCCTCACTTGCCTCCTCCACCCGGGTCCTCCTCTCCAGGAAGCCATGGCTGGGGCCTGAAAGCACCCTCCTCCTGCCCCCAGAGTCTATGCCATGCAGCCCGTGGCCACCAGGGATTCTCCCCTTCTTTTCCCCCGGTGGCCACAGCCCCCCCAGTCCAGGACCCCCACCCCCAGCCCCTGCTTACCTTGGAATCCTTTTCCCGGGACTCTACGATCAAGTCAACCATGAACTTCCCATCCAGATCCGTGGCTGGGCCGGTAAGGAGCGAGCGATCTCCGCGAGCCTGGCTGCCTGCGATCAGTACGGGCTGTGACTCCCCGGCTGCTCCTCAGGCTCTCTCCGCCTCCTCTCCACTGCGGCCACAGCTGCCACCATTCACCAGCCGTGACGTCAGCGGCGCCTAGTGCGCAGGCGCACACTCTCATTAACCCCAGCACTGCCAGGCCTGGAGCAGGGGGGGGGCATTCTGATCAATAGGGTCATGTGCAGGACAGCAGGGTTATACCAGGAAGGCACTATAGGAAGGAGGGGGACATATGCTTTAAAAATCCAAAAACAAAATAGGGATATATTATCTGGGTGTACCTGGGGCCTGACAGGGAATTGTCAGAAATACTCAATGAAAAAACAGACTGAAAATATATCTTGGATAATGTCTCCAGTTTGTCTGTTTAGGACAAAATATGAGATTCCATATTCCACAACAGTGACAGCCAATAGTAACTCCAGCAGGTGGCTGTTTTCTTTAAAATGTCAGGCCAAAATAGACAAGGTGGAAGAATGGCTGAGTTGAAGAGTTCAGGAGATTTGGCGCATTCTTTGATTACAAAGAATTCCTGGTTTATTGAATATCCACCTCTCAGTTCCTGTACATCCTGTTGTCTGGTTACAATTATATGTCTGTTAGTCCACCCATTGTACAGCGCTACGGAATCTGATGGCGCTATATAAATAATAATTTTAGTCCTGTCTCTTTCATGTGTTGTGAAGGGACAAAAGAATTGGGTGGCACTGTAATTTTAACCCTGCAATGTAAAACATTAGTAGTATAGTTTTGTAGAAATGGCAATATCTACATTGAACACACTTCTAGTTACTGTCTTTCAGACAGCCATAGCGGTGGTACCTCTACAATAACCGACTGAAATTCAGTCATGTGACCAAATGTAGTTCATAGGAAACAGGGCCACCATCAGGGGGTTCCACTGGGCCCCACATTCCCTATCAATGGCAGTGGGACTCCCGCCGGTGCCGGGGCCTGCACTCTGATAGGGCAAATCGGGTGGCCCATACCCTTGCATATGTGTTAACAAAAGCAGTCGCAACTAGTTCTGTCACCGGCCGTCATTTCCTCCCAGCTTACTGCACGCGGGAGAGAGCAGGCAGTGAGGAGACCGTGAGGAGGAAAGAGCCAGCCGACTCCCATCAGCCACAACCACCCTCCTGCACCAAAAAGGTAAGAAACAGGAGGATGGCTAAAAAACTTGCTGTGTGTGTATCTGTATGTATGTATGTGTGTATGCATATATGTATTTATGTGTGTGTATGTTAGTATGCATGTATGTATGTATGTGTGGGTCTTTATGTATGTCAGTATGTGTGTGTGTATGTATGTCTGTGTTTCAGTGTTTGTGTATCACTGTGTGTGTGTATTCTGTGTCAGTGTGTATGAGTGTATCTGTGTGTGTGTATATCTGTGTGTAACTATGTGTCATTGTTTGTGTCTGCATGTGTACTGGAGTGTTAGTGTGTGTGTCTGTATGTCTGTGTATCTTTGTGGTGTCTATGAAAAAGTGTATGTGGAAGTGAAACATTACCACATTCAAACACCAACATTCACACACATGCATACGCCATACAAAAAACATGCTTACATTCAAAAACAAATATTGTGTTTGTGTGTATATATATATATATATATATATATATATATATATATATATATATATATATATATATATATATATATAATGTGCCAAAGGATAGCTGCTCACCGGTCTTTAAAATTCCAATACTTTATTTAATTCAAGTTAAAATCAGAGACCAACTTTTAACGTTTCAGTCCCTACTCGAGACTTTCTTTTCTGAAAGTCCCGAGTAGGGACTGAAACGTTGGTCTCTGATTTTAACTTGAATTAAATAAAGTATTGGAATTTTAAAGACCGGTGAGCAGCTATCCTTTGGCACATTGTATCTCTGGAGTCCAGGCTATGGCACCCGGCATTATTGAACACTACTGAGCGTGAGTGCGGGGGAAATTGTATTTTTATATATATATATATATATATATATACACACACACACTGCATCCACTACACATGCACTAACACACACCTTGTCCACTTTACATACACTGCATCAAATACACAAACACACCCTGTATCCACTTTACACACACTGCAGACTTAAAGGCTGGCCCTGTGGGCAGGCTTGGAGGCGGGCCTCCTGGGGCCTAGACTTGGGCTTTGTTAGGGGCCCCAAAATCTCTGATGGCAGCCCTGATAGGAAAGCATAGAATTCAATGCTCTCCTTTGAGAAGCATTAGGATGTATCTGTAGCACTTTCCGCGCATGCACATCAGTACCCAATGCTACTATAAGGAACTTTGGATTGAACCACTGGAGTAGGCACCGGCTGCAAAACTAAGGGAGAAAAGGTAAGTAAAAAGCTTTTTCTTGGCTTGTTTGCTGCAAACAGGCTACAAATTAGGCTCTGGGACAAAACAGGTTTGTATTCCTAAAACTATAGTGTTCCTTTAACGTGAGATGATCTCTTAGGGCAGTGTAGATCTTAAGGATTTTGATCCAGTGTCTGCCATTCATGCAGGGTAAATTAGGTTGCCATCATGGCCATGTTTTCCTTGATGTTGGGAGATACATGAATAGTGCTGCTTTGCCGTTTATATAATTTACTTACTGCAAGAACAAAACAATTAATTGATTATTGTTGTTTAATTATTGTGTGTTTCCTACGGTATCCTTTCTGTGATCATTTCATTGATTTTCAGCATGTCAGTTCAAGAAACTGATTTTCCACTATCAGCATGTAAGTTCTAAAAAATAAGAGGCTTTTTTTATTCATGTACACCTTGACGTGGCCAAGAAAGTTATCCCCAGGTAGGTCACAGTGGGATCTAAAAATAAAAAAAGCTAACAATGTTGATTGTATTGGCTACGGTGCCCAGTTTATTGCCAGATCATTTAGGAACAGTTTGACAGAAACCATGGCTCTTACCAGTGCCTGGGGACTATTGATCAACGGACAGTGATAATGTATGTGTTATTTCTGCATATCTGTGTGTGACCGAGTTGGGGTTTCTTGGTGCCAAGAAGTAGCCCAGTTGCATGCGTGTCTGAAATAGGAAATATGGAATTTGGGTGGATAGGCAAAGGAGGAACACGTGGTGTAAGGGGTGCGTAGATCCAAGTTACATGAGAGCAAGGGCATCCCACAGCTCACAGCGCTGTCTGTGGGGAGCAGAAGTGGCATCGCATTCCCAGCTTTCTCCTCTCACACATGCTGTGAGAAGCATCCTGGCAAAGAGAACTTCCAGGTATTCTGAACGGGGGCTGGTAGAGAGACACAAGGGCTGAGAAGAGCATAAGATGTATCTGTAGCTGTGAATGTGAGTGCATTTCCCTAAATGTATGACTGTAAATGTGTATCTGTGAGTGTGCCTGTATGTGCATATCTATGAATATGTTACTGTGTATGTTTGTGTCGTTGTAAGGATGTGCCTTAATGCGTGCATTTGTGAGTGTTTTTGTATGTTTTCTTGCGTGTAATTTCCCTTACATGGACATTAAGCACCAGATCTACTACAGCCTAATGTAGTGGTTTTGGTGTAAAGCACCAGTTCCGGCAGTTTCTGCACTGTGAAAAGTTCTACATTTGTGCCGAAGAACACCGCTAGTGACAGAATCTCAGCCAGCCACTAGAGGTGCAAACTTTTCAGGACCAACATTCAGCATCTTCAAGCTAGCTGAACGCTCCTCATGCATTGGTATAACAACACATCCCTATAAGGAAATGTCTAATGGTGCAGTGCATGCACAGTAGGCTCCCCAACACTTTTCTAGTATTGGATTGGTTGACATTATCAATATTTTATTATTTATATAGCGCCAGCAAATTCTGTACATAAACTATGATCTCAGAGAGAGGGACAGAGAAATAGCCGTGGTTAATTAAACCACACCAATGGGGGGACCACAAAACGTTTGCACCCAGGAGTTACCAACCCTAGACTCACCCCTGTTTCTAAGGGTCCACAGTACTTATAACAAAGCAAGCACAGCATCGCAGAATATGGTGCATTCTACTCAGGATCATATTTTGTGTTTTCTTCATTCTGGAGTGTTTACATTGAACAGTGTGTTGCACTGCGCTGTGAAAAGATTTGCAATATTTCTGCCGAAATAGCTTAGCAGGAGTAACATGAGCAATTGTTTTTATGGATAGAACCCTATGTCACCTACCTAGATTACCTGATATTTGTTCTAATATCATATAGCCGAGGAATAGATAACAAGTCTTTTTAAACTCATGATGGACTGCTACTCCTATAGTGCTCATCGAAGACAGAGTTTCAAATAGTTTCACTCAGCATGATAGGAACTGTAGTCCAACATAAACCTAAAGATGGTTATCCAGCTTGGTGTGACCTATAGGGATATATAAATCCTACATGCTTATGGGAAGTATGTGAAATGTTCTACCCTCTAGCATGTCAAATTCCAAAATGACATTTTATGATCTAAGACAGATAATTATTTAGTGATTATTATTTGATTAATAATTGAATTCTCCCTTAAGCCAGTGGAGGGCTGGCTACATATGGACAACAACAAAAATTAGCAACTCGTATCCTTACCAGCACATTGTCACATCCAACTCCACTATCTTTCTTGTTTTTAGCTTAAATGTTTTATACTAATACTGCAATAATATGCAGGCTATAATAACAATAAATTAATATAGTTACACAATATATTTAGTATTGTGTTCTGAGACAGCAGTCCGCAAACCTCTCTATACTAGTGGCCTGGTGGGCAAATTCCCCTCTGCCCCACCCTACTGCCAGCACTTCCCTATGTATGTGTCTATGAAAAAATTGTGGTTCTAGCATCCTCATCGTTAGGCCTGACAAATGATCATTTGTTACTTGAAGCTAGGTTTAGCACGTTTGGTAAAAAAAAATAATGTTGCCATATTGTGTCATTCATACAAGAGGTACTTGTTTGAAAACCATAATTATATGAAATATAGCTTAGATATGACACATTATGATGTTATAATATTATAACTAAATGTATCAAATTATAATTGTGTTACTTCAGGAATTAATGTTTATTTGTGGATGCTTCAACTATTAATTATTGTCTGCAATGTGAGAGATGTGTAACAGTCAGGTTTTAGTTCCTTAACTACCCAATAAATAGGACAACACTATTACATACCCACACAAATATTGTTCATGCTATTTATGTCACATAATGCAATAATTCAATAAAATTCTCAGTTTTGTGAAAACATTAATATAAATTATGTTATCTAGATAATTTTACTTGAGCACTCTCGACACTGCAATTTCTGCCGCTTCAGCAGTTATCATGAATGTTTACAAGTGTATCATTAACATTGTTTAATAAATACACTATTCCTCTCTGTTCTCTACCTTTTCTCATTCCCTTAGTCGTCTCCATCTTGAGACTGTTAAAGAATCATTGCTAAGTTTTGCCATGTGACAGTCACATTTTCTCGTACTGTTACTGGTTTACAACTTTTTTTGATGACCCTGCAATTCCTGTGTTTTGCTTTTTTTTGTTTTTTTTAATTTCTCTTTTGTATGCCTTAACATTAAAGGGACATGCTAAGCACCATAACCACTAAAGTTCCAAGGCACAACTCCTGTCAAAATGTTTATGAAAGGTTTAACTCTTATCTTGCTGTGCTGGGTGCCCACAGTCCTTCTGGCGTGAGTTTGTACTTCCACATTTACTTACCAACTCATGCCAGGTTTGGACAGTATTTGTCGACTGATCACTTGTCCTTTTCCTTACAATAAGAAACTGGGCCATTAAGCTTTCTAATATAGAGATCTATGGAATAACCTACCATAAAATATCAAATCTTCCACACGCCAACAATCTCTACAAAACCTGTCTTTCTCCATTCAAACCAAAACTGTAACTGCTCATATTTATCAATGTTCTGTAAATGTAAAATGCATAACCTTGTAACCAGACTGCACTATTTCAGCCTCCCAGAACATGTTTGAGAATTAAAGAAATAATTATTATTCTTTGCAAAAACACTTTGTAACAAACAAAAAAAAAAAATAAATATATTATTCTATGCATTAATGCCC